TCCATTCCCAGGTTTATCTTTGGTTGATGTGTACTGTTCCAATAATGGACAAGAGTTGGATGATGATAAAAGATAGACTACAAAGTAAAGAGTATCTTCAAGGTGTTCAGTCATTTATTGAGTTCGCTACGAAGAATTTAGGGCCGCAGGATGAAATCCGTTGTCCTTGTATTGATTGCTTGAACGGCGCAAAATTTAGTCGACACGTTGTACGGTTGCACTTGATTCGAAGAGGAATCGCATGTTCTTATTGAACTTCGGTGCACCATAGGGAACATGTTTCCATGTTTCGTGCTCATCCTACTATGCGAAACGATGATACTGAAAGCAACGGAGCTAAAATGACAGCCAATCACGAAAATGTGGGTGAACTTTCTACCATGTTAGAAGAGATTTACATGAGTGGTCTCATGAATGATCATATCGATGAAGAACGTACTAGTTCGGAGAGGCACAATTTGTTGAAGTTCATGAAGTTGTTCGATGATACTCAATGCAAAGTATATCTAGAGTGTGAAAAGTTCTCCATATTGTCCTTCGTAATTAAGATGCTTCACGTGAAGGTGTACAATAAATGGAGCAGCAAATCTTTCGATATGGTTATGCAAGTTTTCAAAGACATTCTACCAAAGTGTGATGGAAATGTTCCATGGACCCTTTATGAAGCAAAAGAGTTCTTACGTGAATTGGGTTTGGGATATGAGGCCATTCATGCATGCAAGAATGATTGTACTTTATTTTGGAAGGACAATGCCACATTGGAGAATTGCCCTGCATGTACGGAGTCTAGATACAAGTTGAACGACAAGACGGGTAAAAAAATTCCACACAAAATACTGAGGTACTTTCCTTTGACACCGAGGTTGAAGAGATTATACATGTCGAAAAAAACAGCCGCATATATGAGATGTCACAAAGATAAGCGTGTGGATGATGGAGTATTGTGACATCCAGCTGATGGTGAGGCATGGAAGGACTTTGATAGGCTGCATCCTACGTTCTCTGCGGATCCTCGGAATGTAAGGTTAGGGCTTGCCACGGATGGTTTCAATCCATTTGGACATATGAGTACATCGTACAGCATGTGGCCCGTAATTTTAATGCCTTACAATCTACCCCTATGGAAGTGTATGAAAGATCCATTTGTCATGATGTCATTGCTCATTCCCGAACGATTCGCACCTGGAAGAAACATCGATGTTTACTTGCAACCATTAGTAGAAGAGTTAACTAATCTGTGGGAGCATGGTGTGCAAACATATGATGCCTCAAATGACCAAATATTTACAATGCATGCAGCAGCCATGTGGACCATCAACGACTTCCCTGCATATGGTTCCTTGTCTGGTTAGAGTACAAAAGGTTACCTGGCCTGCCCTAATTGTAACATGGATGCATCATCTCAGAGTTTGCGAAGTAAGATAAGGTATATGGGTGTTCGGCGGTACTTACCTGAGAACCATAATTGACGAAGAAGTAAACTATTCAATGGTGAAATTGAGAATCGGTCCAAACCTGTGGAGTTATCGGGAGAACAAACACCAGAGCAAATTAATTTGGGGACGTACAGGCCGTATGGAAATCATCCAACCAACCAAAAAAGACAACGGACTGAAAATCCAACTCCGAA